GACGGCGTGCCACTTGGTTCTGCAGCAAGCAGGACCAAGTCAGTGGCTAAAGGTGGATCACGGCGTGACCACAATGAGGAAAGAGAAAATTCAATGTTTGTAAATCCCCTCCTCCCCCTTCACAACAACCTCCCCCCCCCCCCCCCCCCAACAATAATCAGAAAAAGACATGGACTTTGACGATCACTTTTTTCCGGGAAATAAATTTTAAACAAACTACAATTATTATTAAAAACAGAAGTTTTTCCCTTAATTTCTTCCCGCACCAAAACTTTCAAATTTGAGAAAAAAAAATTGCCTGAAAGACATACTCGATGATATTATGTTGATGAATTACACACCACTGACTCTAAAAGTAGTAGTAGTAAAATTTCGTTTATTTCTGTTGATTATGGTGTACACATTGATATTATATTTCAATTTATTAGCCTATCTGGCTCTTCATATTTGTTCATTGGATATTCTAATTTAGTATTTGCGTATTTCATCCAGTTGAAAGAATACCACATGGTGGGGTGTGTTTTGTTTTAATTGAAAAATTAGATAACCTACCTAACTACGAGTCTAACTTAACTAACGTGCCAGATCACGTATTATCTGAAGAGCTGAACTTTTCCAAGGAGACCGTTCGTCGCTCTTCGAGAGGCTAAAGGCCAGCCAGGCGGTGAACCTCAGAATTTCGGGTCCTGGACTGTTTAGGATCATCCTAAGGATCTTGTTCTGGAGTTTTTATGTGTTCCACACATGAATTGTTGCAACGTGATCAACAAATCAATATCTATGTGTCGGCCACATACTTAATATATGTAGGTACATATAAAAACCATGCGTGACCACACATACTATTCATTTGCGTATAAATTTCATGTGTACTTCTGAGTGGATTCTGTTTATGTGTGGTCAAATGAAAATCATGTGGAATTTCACATTAATATATGTGTCAAGAAAATTGTTTAAATTGTTTTGAGTGAACCATAACCGAAACATTGAAATACTTGAAAATTTTAAGATAAAGTATAATAGTCAAAAATGCATGAAAAACATCAATTTTGTGTGGTTCTACGTCATACTGCGGTCGTGTCTAGGACACAACCATTTAATATTTTTTGCTGTGTATTTGCTCCTCGTCTTAGAGTTACCTCTATATGATACTACCAACTACGATAAATTTAAATTTACCGTTAAATGCGTGTTCAGTGTTATGTTTGTTTGTCTGTGTAGCCCGATTTTAAATCTATGTTCCTGAAAAGTTTTGGTGTGATAAGGGTAAGATTAGTAACTAACTTTTGTTCGTGCTCAATTGCTAACATACAGTCAAATTCCGTCTGCAAGTAGATTATTTGTTAAGATATGATTAACATCACAATTGAAGGTTACTTATTATACCCAGGTTAGGGACATTTGTTTCCAAAGCATCAAACTCTAAACTTTTTATTCGACAACATATAACTGGCTCATTTTGTTTCTCCCTTCTCTTTCATTAATTTACGAACAAAAACAAACAATGGAAGAGTAACGACTGGGCTTTACTTAAAATGCAGTTTGTCAGCGCTTGCTGCAGTGCACAGACAAAAACAAAAACCCTAAATTTAAGAGTTGGTTGGAAATGCTAACATAAAGCTTTAGTGTGATTGGAGACATACTTCAAGTCTCCGCGTACATCGTACGGGTTAGGCAAAAGATGTGCGTCTATCTTTAAAAACTGTCGCATTAATGGCCCTTCGCTCATTTTCAACTTCTATTCAATTTTCATACTGCCGTACTCTAACGGAACTATCACCCTACCCTCTTCTAAAGATCATTCTCCAGCTAATAAATTATCACACTAAAGCTTCATGTTAGCATTTCCAACCAACTCTGAAAATCGCTAACTTCGCGTATGAAGTAACATAAAAACACTTTGAACCTAAATTTAAGTTCTTTTTACTTAATTTTGGGTAGAAAATACTCAAGAGTAAGTAATTATTTTTGCCGTAGTCAAATGTAAACTACTATAAGCGGATTGGGTTTACTGAAAATTAGCTTATTGAACGGAACATGGGAGATGAGTGAGAAGAACTTAATTTTGGGTAATTTATCGGTTCCGTGTGGATGGTGCGAACTGATTTGTGGGAGCACTTTGAAGAAGTACCTTGAACCGTGGGGAAATATCGAGAGCTTCGGAGAAGAGTTATGAATATCAGGAAAACTACGGGAGCTTAAGGAAAGTTCGGTGAATCTTAGGAAAGTCCAGACAACTCTAATTTATTGAGAAGTTAAAAGAACTTCTGTGGGAGTAAAGATATCTTTAGGGAAGTCCCGACTAGCGGGAATGTTTAAAAATCTTCAAGTGAATATTCGGACAACTTCGTACATGTCAGGAAAATGTTGAAAACTTCATCGAAGATCTATAGTAGTTTTAAGGAGAACTTCACAGTAGTTCTGAAGAGAACTTCAGAGTAGTTCTGAGGAGAATTTCAAAGTAATTCTGAAGAGAGCATCAGAGTAGTTCTGAGGAGAAATTCAAAGTAATTCTGAGGAGAACTTCAAAGTAGTTCTGAGGAGAAGTTCAAAGTAGTTCTGACGAGAACTTCAAAGTAGTTCTTAGGAGAACTTCAGATAAATTCTGATGAGAATTTCAGAGTTGTTCTGATGAGAACTTCAGAGTATTTATGTGGAGAGTTTCAAAGTTGTTCTGAGGAGACCTTCACAGTAGTTCTGAGGAGAACTTCAGAGTAGTTCTGAAGAGAATTTCAGAACAGTTCCATTGGCCTCAGGGAAATTTCGGGAAATTTATGAAACTCCCCGGGAGCACCCGGAACATGTATGGCCAGTGTGGTCCTGAGTACTTAATATGGTCTCCAATGTTCTTATTTTTGAATTCTCATATAGTTTAGTGTATCACATGAGGATGTAGGTTCAAGTTTCACTTCTCCAGGGGTATCCGGAACATGTTCGGATCTGGCCAACGTGGTCTTCAGTACTTAATATGGTCACCAATGATCATATTTTTTAAATTATCATCTAATTTGATGTGTCGCATGTAGGTGTTGGTTCAATAAGAATCTGGCCAGTTCCCCGGGGGTCCCGAAATATGTCCGGCTGCATGGTTCTGATTACATACTACGACCTTGGATGATTATTTGGTTCACTTGAAGGTTCTGGTTAACTCAAAAATTAAAAAAAAAATACAACTGAAAATGTTGAGCACTTCTCAGGCTGTCGCTCAACCGCACCGCGATTTTCCAAAATGTTAAAAAAAAAAGTTTTAGTACAACGCAACGCCCTCATTGTGGGTTGTCAAACGGATTTCAGAGTTTGGGAAAATTTGCGATTGCCGCTATGCCGCTATCATTGTGTTCAGCCCTTATACAGTCACTAATAAATAGGGCAAAATGGGGCACGATTGGAATTTGTTTGTCTATATTTCAACAGGTTCAATGCAAACCCAATTTCCATGTGAAATTCCACATGATTTTCATGTGACCACACATAAACAGAATCCACCCAGAAACACACATGAAATTTATGAGTCAAATGAATAGTATGTGTGGTTTTTATGTGTGCACTTATTAAGTATGTGTCCAACACATAGATATAATTTGTTGATCGCATTGCAAAAAATCATGTGTGGGAAACATAAAAACAATCATTGAAATTTTATTAGTGCATATTATGTACTAGATGCAAAACACTGCGTGCTGCAACAACGCGACCTAAAAAGGGAGTGCCCCATTTGGCATAATGCCGCTTGGCATTACTGCCGTTTGGCACAGTGGTCGTTTGGTATGAATGCGGAAAAACGCTACACATACCGATGAATAGTTCATCCGCCTTATTTTTTTCATGGACTGAATATATCAGCGGAACACGAAAGAACAGGATCAAAAGGAGGGAAAATGATCATTTGATGGGTATTTTCCCTTCTTTAAAGCTGATCTTATATAGGGGAAATGGCTCTAATGTTGGCCTATGGATCTAAGATTGGGCCTATCGCTAAAAATCTGCTATTTATGAATTGTATCTAGATTAACGCGTCATTGGGACGGTACCAATGGATATTTTTGGTTGCTATTGAAAATTTAGTCGATTGCTGAATTTATGTATGGGCCCAAATTAGGGACACTTAGGCCGACATTACATACATTTCCCCTATTTTTGAAGAACCGAACATGAAGAAACAAGCAGCTATGTTTTATGTAGACTATAACATATGTTTGTACAAAACGTGTGAAAATACTCTACCCAAATACTCATATCAACACACAAGTGCCGCAAGCGTAGTGTTATCATGCCTACCGTTCTATTGTAAAGATTGCAAATAAATTCAATAGTTCGCATGCCTCTGCCATGGCAGGATGGCCCGATAAACGACTGTGTTTTATTTTCACCATCTATTCACACAACGTAGGGAAGTTCTGCCCGTGCGCGATCAACATATTATTTACGTTTATGCCAAGTGGCATTATGCCAAATCAGGTACTCCACTGAACATAACATTGTTTAGACTTTAATTCAGTTTTAATACAAAATTTCCCGGTAATTAAAAATGTTTTGACATTACTCAGATAATTCCAAACTTGTGTTTCAAGCTTTGTCTTAAGTAATCCTCAATTCAGAGTAAAAATAACACAGGAATTAAGAAAAGTAGTTGAAAAGTCGCGGTAAAGAACTTCATGGAATGGGTCCACTTATCACCGTCGCGAACAGTCACAGACACCAGTGCCGGATCTAGGATCTAAGGAGCCCGGGGCTGTTATCCTTAGGGGGGCATATTATCTGCTTTCGAAGTTTGAGTTTCAATTGCGCGAGTTCAGAAAACAAGCCATTCATCAGTTATCGATGTTCTCAATGACTTAAATTTGCAATTAATCAAAGCTAATTTGCTGAAAGATCTGAAAGATGAAAAATAAGATAGAATCCCATATCCTCCATTTTTAAGTGATTTCTCAAAATGATCAACAGTTCATACGCTTTTGAGTTCAATTTATTTAAAATAAATATGTTTCCCTTAAGGATAACGTTTTTATATTCAGTAAATTTTTTATATAAAACATTCACATATCGCATTTATCTTACACATCTTTAATTCTGATTTCGTTTCATGATTTCTTTGAAATATTATTATGTTCTACTTGTCAGTAAGGCATTTTTAACACTTTTATTTGTTGCACTATCAAGTAATATAAAAACTTTTCAACCATAGAACGCATGGACGTTTGCAACTTCATGTACGGAAAGAGCAATATGAGGAAGCCGGTTTATATTTACTAAAATCTCTCCATTTCTTAAATCCTACTTGGCAATCGGAGTGGTGCTGCTTGCTAATTTCTGCCAGCAGGAATCGCAAACTCGCTGCGGTTTTCCATTCGCCTCACCTGGAATCACAGCCACGTGATCGGAACAATTCGAGCAGAAAATGCTACCGCAATAACGACAATGATGTTTTCGGCGGGTTATACTGAACTCCTTATCGCAACTTTTACAGTTGGAAACTCCTTTATCTGGGGTCCAAGATCCTCCTCCGTTTCCACTACTGGACTCCGAACCGTTCTTTCCATCGTTACTCTGGTGCAAACCCTTTTCCTTTAAATCAGAAATATGCATCTTACTGACGCTTAATTGAACACCTAGCTCTTCGAGGGTTCGTTGATCTTCTTCCCATTGTTTGCGTAGCTTTACGAGCTCAGCTTTGGTTCGATCGTGTTGCTGAAACATAATTCTATATTAATTAATCTGCGATGCGACTAAATATGGGCAAAAGAAATTACCTTCAATTCATCACCGAGTTGTCGGACTTCCAACTGCAGAGCACTGATCTGTTCCTTGTGTTTGACCTCGTTCTCTTGCATAGAGGTTCGCCATTCCCGCTCGATGCGTAAATCCGCTTCGGCGCGTGTCGCTCGCTGTTCACAGGAAACAACTTGAAGTGATAAGGCTTGTGAGGTTTCCTGCAGGGCATTCAGGCTGGCCGTTTCGGAGTTATGTCTATGTTGGAAAATTTTATTGAGTCAGCAACTTGATTTTGCTATCTAAACAAATTTATAATTTGATAATACTTAGGTAATAGACCTATACCATCCCATTTTCATTTTTTTTTCTCAAATTAGCAATAAAATTGCAAACAAATAATCTGTATGGACATAACAATTCAAACTAAAATTTAAAACTTCGTTGGTTGCAGAAACTACTGAGGATAAATAAAAAAGGTTTTGGGATAGGTCCATTAAATGTAAATGCTAATTGACTAACGATTGCATTGACTTTTTTTTTTTAATTCGTGCTGCTATATAATTGTTTTAGTGTTTTGTGAAAAATCAATCTTCTATATTTGCAAAGCCAGATATATGATCAACAATTTTCTTCCCAAAACATTTTTCACTGTTTTGATTTTTTTTATAAGATTAAAAATTGAGATGCTGATTATTTAAAGCAAGATTAAAAACTTTTAGAGGAATCGAAAAGTTTTGGATCACCTGTCCTACCATAAGATGTAAAATGATTAATTGGAAGAGAGAAGGATTAGTAATTTCCATTTAATTCCACTATTTTATTTATTTATCCTTGACAGATTATTAGTATAAGACACTGATGAAGTCTGCACAGTGTAGACGAAATAAGCGTATCCGTCAAGGATAAGCAAATAAGGTAGTGGAATTAAATGGAAATTACTAATCCTTTAATGACTGAACTGATTTCAATTGGCACTCGTGGTCATATCGTGTAGCGTTTTGAGAAACTCACATCGGTAAAGATGAGTTACGACGAACTGGCGAGAGAGCTGAGTGAGTATCCTGATTATAACCGAACGCTTAATGTGAAATTAATTGAATTTCTCACTTTTAGGCTTCGATACCAGTTAGGATAATAAGGAAAATATTAATTTATTTCAAACCATTGTTTTCATTTTCAAGCACAGAAGGGGGTCATAGGGCCAAGTCACCAGCGAAAAATCGCTGTCCATACTGCACCAGGGTAGAGGTATAGATTTGGCATCACAGAATAATAACCACAGGGGTCAAATGAATCCTGTTTACGATACCGGATAGTAAGGAAAGCTGTTGAACTTAGGAGATAGTCAGAGTAACAGCAATAATAGTGAAAGTTAGGAAAATAAGCAGGTAGAGATGGTTGATTTGCAATGGCTATCGACTCTGTTATATGGCCTACCGTATCAGATTCAAATTTAATGTCGTTTAATATTGCGCTTATTACTTTTATCTTTATTCTAAGCAATCTCCTTTCATACTTGTTTGTTTTAAAGTGAACTGGATGAAATGATTGTTTTATCAAAATTATGTTAAAGTTAACTACTATTCATATTTGCTAATTAATACCTAAATGTAATTTTTAATTTTATGAAGATAAGTTGCTCAGAATAGCAGCCTGTAATTCCGTACCAGAATCCGCCTCCAATTTAATGTCTTTTGTGGATTCGTAGTAGCAAAGTTGTGCTAAAAGCTAAATAGTTACCTAAAAATACTACCTAAATCGTTCACAATCAGAGCCGGGCCACTGATGAAAACCAAAACTACAACCCTGAAAAAACGAATCGATATTTTCGAAGGCGAACACAACCTATTCTTGCTAGTGATTCTGTCCAATTGTTAGGTATCCAAATTATAGTCATTCGTAAATTTATTATTGAATATATGGATGAATTATCTATTATTGAATAACTATTATTTACGATAATTACATGAAAGAAATAACATATAAACTACAAACAAAACGTGACTACTAAAATCTCAAAAAGATATTCTCACAAGTATATTTCACTCAACCAGGAATCTCAAAACCATTAGACGCTATAATGATACTCTGCACATGTTAGACACAAGAAAAGGCCAAAAAGCAAGCGTCCGACACACAAAACCCGCCAAATCCACTGGCAGTCACAATCAACGATTCTACGAATCGCGAGCGCTCACGAATCATAAAACCGCTGACTGCGACACTCTGAAAGCGAAATTGACAGGCTTTATGCGTCAAACACTCGCCCTCCAATCTCCTCCCGCATCCAACAACACAAACCCCCACTACAACATCTAACGAATTCAAAACTCCGAAAATCACTCATCTATAGAAAGTGAGTGGAAGCAACCCTGCATGCAACTATTCTTCATGATACGCTTTGTCTGTCTATCTTTCTATTAGGCCTGTGGACATGTGTTAGCTTCGAAACTTCTAACAAAACTAGGAAGATTTTGTAATCACAAAAAAAAATTCAAAGGTAATTACAAGCAAAATACATATTGATTATTTTACGCAAAACCGAGCAAGTTATATTAAATCTCTTGTATTGTATGCTAATGCTAATTGACTGTAACAAAAATAATATGCTTAAATAAAATAAAATATTAATAAAATGATATGCAAAATTTACTAGAAGGTCATTACTTTATTGGTGAGAAGTTTCTAATAAGCCCTCCCAGTTCCTCTGTATACAGAACAAATCTGATACTATAATCAGAATTGCTCAGTCTGCATGAAGCAGCCGATTGCATCACGGAAGTTCTATTAACAACCAAGAATTAATCGTTTGAGGTATACTGAAGCATTAAGAAGGTGATATGTGTCACTATGGAAAATCATCATCGTTGCAAATATAAAGAAATTAAACATAACCCTTTGCTTCAGTACCGTCAACCTCCATGTCCATGGGGAGGGCAATCTATAACTTGTTAAGTTTGAAACTAAACAATACAGACATAGGCATCCTCCCATAATAATTTTTGGATTCGTAAAAAGTCGTCGACCTTCTTCTTCTTAGTCGGATTTCAAGCTTATTGCTTATCGCATATTAGCTTATGCGTGCCCTCAATTTAGTGTTCTAGATGCACTTCCACAGATATTAATTGAGAGCTTTCGATGCCTGTACCTTTACAATAATTGCACCATTAGTATAATTGTGTGGCTAGTACAATCATACTCTATACCCAGGGAAGTCGAGAACTTTTCAAACCCGACACATTCCTAGACCGGACAGGGAATCGAGCCCAGTCACCCCCAGCATGGTCTTGCTTTGTAGCTGCGCCTTTACCGACTGAGCTAAAGGAGGCTACCAACCACCACCCCTCTCCTCTCAAAGTTCGAGACAATTTGTCGCTATGCTGGTATCATACCGAGAATGATTTTTTTGCGAAAATGCAGTTCATATATATGACATTCGAACCAATGTCTTTCGGGTTTCTGTGACATTCGAGCGAATGTTATAGAACAATTTTGAAGACATTTTTGATTCGCTGGACACATCACAACAACCGTCTATTTTTTCGAATAAACAAGCAAATAAGGTAAGATTTTCTTTCATAAATAAGCAGTAGGATATAAAATCAATTTCATTAGTCGAACTTGTTTATTTAAGCAATGTTATATTTTTATACTAGCATAATAACTATAAAATTACTTTTTTTTTTGTACAATTATAGCAGCACGAACGAAATTTTACTGGTAAACTCCAAGTCAAACGTGTGGAATGATGCAAGGGGCTATTCCAGTTGTTCTTTTCAACAATAATATCAAGGAAGCAATTTTTTGTCGATTCGGATTAACCGGAACCAGACAGAACACCATTCGCTCATGATAGAACCAAATTTCAAATATTCAACGCAAACGAAGATAAACCTTTGTTTCTTAGTCAATGCAATCGTAGCAAGTATGTATTAATTTTATTTAATAAGTACACAACTAAAGCGTAGAATACTTATTTAATAATGTTGTTGTTAAATATATTCAATTGTTATTATAACAGTATAAATGTCATACTTTTTCTCCAACTGCGCTATGGCCGTGGCCATTGACTCTCGCTGGGTTTCCATGCGCGACATTAGCTCGGTTTTGTGCTTCAATGATGCTTCGCATTCCTGTTAAGAGTATATAACGGACATATTTTATAGAAAAAAAAACAAATGCTTTATTTTGTGGTTTGTGTCTTCTGATTAGGAGGAGTCTACAAAATTAATCCATTTTACATAATTTTAACCGTAACTTCAGCATTCACGATCTATCGCTAGTTTACAAGTAACGGGTTGATCACACTGCAAGCCTGAAGGTTATCGAAGACCTAGTGTCTGACACTTTACGGGTTAGTTAGTTTTACTTTGCTCGTCAGCCATGGAAGTCTGCTGGCTGGTTGCTTCCTGTGCCTGTTCAACCGGATTGTTTTCCCCGTCTTCAGCGGAGTTTGGTACAGTCTTGGATTTCTCGTTCGATTCCGTTACTTTCGTCACTCCCACGGAAGGGGATTTGCGCAGTTTGTTGGCATTGAAGGGTGGAATAGTGCCTATTTTTAGATATGCCTTCTTGCTCGGAGGTCCGCTAGCGCCGCTGTTGAATGAAGAGATCGTACCGATTTGAGAATCAGTCATCTGGTTTCCTTTCTTTTCCAAATTTGAAAGAATCTTTCCGATCTGAGAAGCTTTAACCTGTAGTCTGGTTACAACCTCACCTTTCTGAGTTAGTTCCGTTTCGCATTCCTAGTTTTTATTAGTTTCAATGGGAAGGTTCGATTAAGGCTAAACAATTCAACGAATATTTCAGTATTACCAAACTTAAGAGGTGAACATATAAAAATAACAAGAAATAGAAATGGCCGCTATACCTGCAGTTTTCGGTACATGTCCAGATTGATAGATTTAATGTCTTCGAGCTGACGTCGGAGCGATACAATAGTGTCTTGCTTTTCATGAATGTCTTTCTCCAGTAGCTTCATTGCCATGTCTGTTTCAGCTTTCAGGGAAATCTGGATGGAAATAAAAAACCAGTCATTCAAAGCCGGTCATGAATTTAACCCGGAATCAGTACTTGAAGATTCAGCTCTTTTTCTATTTCCTGGCGCTTCTTTCGTTCTTCAGCTAACGCCTCGGCCATTTCTGGGTCGAATCGATCGAGAACGTTCGTTTTATCGTCTAATGGCTGGCCATGCTGAGACGCGCGTCTTAAGGCGGCGTTCTCGGCTTGCAGAGCCATCAGACTGTTCCTGGCAATAGCCAAATCTTCCTTCATAAGTGCATTCGTTGTAGTGAGTGATTCTACTTTGGCTTGCAGATTGGTTACGGTTGCGCTAGAAAAAGATGGAAAAAGATTATGATGTTCGTTTATAAGCAGAGTTATGCAACACGTACTTCAAATGTCGATTCAATTCCTCGATGTAGTTCTTTTGATCCAGAACGGCAGTCATGGCTCCGGTGGCTGTGGTACCTTCGATTGCATTCACTGTTCCATTTCCTCCGTTATTCTCATCATCTGGACTATTCCGTGAGCTCGACCTCAAATAAAGCGAGAAATCGATCACGCCCTGTTGTGAATCGAGATCTTCTTCTTTAACACATAGGTTGCAGTCGATTACATTGAGCCCCACCAGAATTCCGATGACGATGATGATCTGAAATTCGTGAACAAGCCGACCTAAAAAGCTTTTCTTATTATGGGTCTTAAATGGAAACTACCTCATCGCTCATCATCAGGGCATGTGGTTCGTAATATTCTGCCAAAGTATCGTCCCTATGCTCAATTATCACCTGCAAATAGTCAGCCAACTTCTTCTGCATGAGGGCCAGTCTCAACCACGCCCTTGCTCGGCCCATGTGCGTTCGAACCGTAGGAAGATCTCGCACCGATGAAGTAATATCCTGTGCCTCAATGCAGTACCGTTCTACGCTTTGCAGTATATCCCAGAGTTCTTTCTTGGGTCCCAAAAGGCCCTTTTTGGGCCGCAGCCCATGTCGAAGAACGTGCTCTAATACGATGAAGAAGTGTTGCAGAGGTAGATGATCAGAATCGAGCATCCTGCCGAAGCGGATCGATTGTTCCAGCAGTTCCTTAACTACCAGTTTGCATATGTTGACCAAATTGCTACGTTCGATCGAGGCTGGATCACGGGCTGCAACAAGAAAGAACCAAGCGGAAGGCGACATTCAGATGACGAGTTCGATAACAGTAGGCATTGTGAAAACGATTGCTTTTTCATGTGACGTTTCTGAATGTGAAATACGTGTGTTTTTATCCGGTTGAAGATCAACATCGGACGAAAATGAAATGGAATAATGCAGATTGCATCTATTGATAGTCACATTGGATCGGGTTTGCGAATTTATTTCTATTGTTTTACGGTGTTGCTGCTTGGTGTGCTAATGAATAGTGTTAAAGTGGTAAGCGTTGCTGCGGCTATCGACGATCATCAAACTTACGGAACCGTGCTCTACAACCGTCTGGGTAGATGTTTCAATCCGGACGATCCGAGATTGATAGAGGCCAAGCGAATTTTTCAGGTTGGTACAAGATATCCAATAGATAAATGGACCCTAACGTCTATCTCTTATCAGGATCTGATGCCTTACCGCAAGAAAAGATTCGAACCATTGTCTGACGAAGTTATCAAAAGTCTCCTGTTGTACTTCTCCTCCGTTGGCAGCATGGTAGACAAACTAGTAGCGAAGAATGATGTGATCGTTGCAGCCTGGTACGATACAGCTGGTGATTACCTACAGAGTTATCTTTATCCAGTTTGCAAGTACTGCTTCTATTCTGGAAACGTGAGCTACTACTCTGTCCGTAGTGTCCGTGACTACTATAGAAAAGTTAAGCTTCGGCTGGATACAGATGGTTTCGGTTGGTCACGGCCTAATTTGGATGCCACCGATGCCCAGTCGAATGTACAGGTTCTTAAAAGCTATCAAAACCGCACGAACTGTTCGGAGTTGATTTTCAATGCTACTACGGAAATTCCCCTACCAAAGGCTGAATTTGACGACGAAACTCAAGAAGTCATCTCCTTATGGGTTCCTCTCAAAGCAAGACAAGTTTACGATCCACGAGCGAATGCTTCATTGTCAATCCTGAAAATTTACGTTGGGACTATTCTACACTGTATTCCCCATGGAAAACAAACGAACAAGTTCGCCACTCACTTTATTCAGTGGATCGAGGAAAATTTCATAAAACACTACATGGATGACCAGTTCTATCCTGGTTTGGAGTCGATTTTGCGGATCAAGAAAACCCTAGAAGCTGACATTGCGGCAAAATCTATAAAGAAAAAATCAATAACAGAGCATGATGAAGAGTCTGGTTCAAAAGGATTTCTGGAAAGCTTGTTGGGATCAGACGAATCAGCGAAGGTTGAAGAGGACTATGAAGACGAACAGGAAGAAGACGAAAGACGCTGGCTACGGATTAAGACGTTGACGGCCACTGTCATATTTGCTTTGTTCCTACTGGTTCTTATTGTAGTTATATCGGTGAAGCTTCGGATGAATCGTAAAGCAATGAAACGAAAAGCTGCCACGAGAAGTGAGCATTTCAAGCCATGGGATCGTAAGAAATTTTTCAAACGGAGAGGTGATCAGTCGGACGAAGACGTTCTACTAATGCTGGAAAAACAACCAGGAAGGAGCAACCCTTCTGAAACTAGCGGTAATATTAACGATAAAAAATCATTCAACCTCGTTACATACATTATTTTACAATTGTAGAGAGTGGATGGAAACACGTCAAACCTCAAAAGCTGGAACGGAAATCACAAAAACCGGGAACTAGCAAGCAAATACCACCGTTTTCGGACACGGAAGATGACGAAGATTTCAATCCATTTCAACCGAAACAGCATTCCGCCGAGAAGATTCCTTTGATTGCAAAAGATGACCGAAAGAAAAAAGGGCGCTGTGGACGCGGTTGTCTGTGCATGAGCTGTGTCAAAAAATCGAAGAATGGCAATGGGCATCAAGACTTGCAGAACAGTTCAGCGTACAAGTTGGCAAACGAAAAACTCAAAAAGGTAGATCCAAATGATGACGTTCAGCGATCGAAAGTTGAACAACCGGCAACGATTAAACCGACGACGGTACGGAATCTTCGCGGTGGAAATATAGCCTACCGAACTGATACGTGGAACGATGGATGATGCGGAAGCGAGCTGATAAGTACTCTTACTCCTGCCGGTACAAGGTTGAGATGTGCGTGTGCAGAATGGTTCCAAGCAGCGTGTTCTAAACGAAAAGCTTAAATATAGTTTAAACTAAAGGAACTTAACTAGATATAATTTGCGTCGATACAAAAATAAGCACAATGCGCGATTTCTTTTTTAGGTTGAGATATTTTTGTAGTTTAACTTGCGTTTTGTTGCATACAATATATTTTATATCGATTTGACATTCTTCTTTAAAGCGGGAAGCTGCTTGAGCATAAATGAAAGAAACATTGATAAGACGGTTCCGAGGGTGCCGACCATTTGGCATAAGGTTAGTTCGAATGTTGATTGAAATCAACGAAAAATCCGTTGTGTTCCGTGGGTCTACCCCGTTTGGAATAATGCCGTTTGGCATAAGGGTCGCTTGGCATTATACTTGGTAAAATGGTACTTGGAGCTGTTATGCGGAAAAATAACTTATACCGTAGGGTGGCCATCAATCCTAACTTGCACATTCTAACAAATGTTAGCTTCCTTCGATATAAGATCGATCAACTTGTTTTAACTTTATTTCAAAATTTACTTACTTAAGATGGAATATTTTTTTATTGGGAATTTAATTTTCCGTTCTGAGAAATAAAATAAGAAGAGAATGGTTCTCTCATTGAAGACTAGGAACATGTTGTTCCTTAATTGATTATTTAATAATCAAAATTAAAGTAATTGAACATTCGCTTCATGAAATACAGTGCCTCCTACAAAACGACTCCTTAGACTATTACTTTGCACAGTTTCTGGATATTTTTTCATAGATTACCAGTTATCTCTGAATCCTAAACTGGGTTTAGACAAGACACGTCAATTAATCAACTCAGATGATTTCAACTGAATTTAACTGATTTGATCAATATACTTGAATTGAAAAGGCCGGCGCCGGTGGTGTAGTGGTAAGCGTGACTGCTTTCTAAAACCCCAATGGGTCTGGGTTCAATCCCAGCCGAGGTCGGTGGGATTTTTCTGAGGCATAAAAATCTCTGGTCACGTCATTCTTCGGAAGGGAAGTAAAGCCGTTGGTCCCGACCCATGTGTGTTGTGAATGGGTGCGATATCCTACGCAGGTGTGGAAGCTGCCTTCCTGCACATTCGATTGTCGTCAATGGATGGCAATCGATGTCCGTCGGTGATTGGCACTAGATTGCGGAACAGACACCGACGTTAAATAAAGGAACTTGAACTGAAAAAAAAGTTGCACCAGGCTCAACTTTTCAAGCCAAATAAATTCAACTGAGTTGATCAATTGACATGCCTAATCTAAACGCAGCGCAAAGAATGAATCCACAAATTTAATTCAGTGATCGATGGATTTTATAGAGAGCAAAGAAGTCAAAAATCACGTTTTGCCAAAAAACGGGCAGACACTGAAATTAAAAAAGAACGAAATGTTCTATATTTTTATTTCAACTAAGATATTACTCCCTTCTTTGTTGAGCTCCGGTAAATGGCATAATTATTATTTATTGTTTTTTATACTAATGATTATACAGAATGATCCATTTCCCGAGATGCAATTTTCCGAAATACCATTTTGATATGTAGACTATTGACACCATCTTCAACCACTGAGGATGCACAGACGATAACAAGTGGTTTTTCCTTACAATTTTCCTCAACCGTGGAAAGGAGTGCAGTTTCGAACCCCTTCGGATACGGTTGTCTATAGTTTGCTCTCTGATTTGTGCGTGCATTCGCTTTCATAGTTTTCGGCTGCATTTGCAGGATTAGCGCTAGCACTCTGCCTTCCGGATGGCCTCCCGTTAATTAGATGCTACATCAACAATATCCTTCCTTTCCCCATAAGAGATGAACTAGCCGTAACGGAGAAGATGGGCGTGGCCGGCAATGTAAATTGTCATGCTTTTCCTGTTCTGAACTTTGATTGGAGAACTATTCACTCCCAAATAGTTTTGCTTAAGCAATCAGAATAAGAACGTTAAAGTTGATACATGTCAGTTGCCAGTATGCAATCTACGAATTACTCCGTTTTTTTTCCTCTGTTCGGAAAATTGTGTATTCCGTGTCCTTAGTTTAGTGCATGTCGTATTACTCCATCACTATTGAGAAATGATGAAGTATTCGATTTTTTTACAGTTGCCACTCTTGCATTTATCGCAAGGATCCGAGTCTAATTGAAAGGTCCCGCTATTCATACCCTTCGGAGTGTTGAAACACCCTCCAAAGGCACGCCCCTTTGTCAGTCAAAATTGGATTCCTTAGCAACAAAATTAAGATATGACACCGTTAATGACCATGCATCAGAACCCTAGTCTTAACCATTTCAAACTAGGGAACAACGAATAGAAGATCATTTTTTTCCTTGTTTCGAGATCATCCTCGGTAGACAAAGCCGAGTCTTATCACTATCAACAAGGCATAAAAAGTAACAAGGATTAAGATGTGTTCCTTGGAATACTGAAAAATCCTGTTCCCCTAGTTTGAAGTAGTCAGGACTAGGAATCGGTGGTAGATCTTACATCCCGTAACGTACCTCGAAAAGGTGATCTACCCACGTTGCGGGGTAATTACTCCGTTACACACGCAATGCAACTTAACAATTCTTCACTGCACACAGAGTAAATATTTACGATTTTTTGACAAAACTCAGGTAATCATGACAGATCCTGACGCAGTAGGTCTCTTTTTTTTCATTTGCGTTGTTTTCAAAGATCAAAATGTCATGATTACCTGCGATTTGTCAATCATGTAAATATTGGCGTTTCAGTGAAAATAATTCAACGCATCTGACAGCCACAGCATGCTGACGCAAAATGCTAAGTTTTCTCTGAATTGGCAATATGTACACGTCGTGTATTGAAGAATTTTCCTCAACCGTGGAAAACTTTCATCAGATTATATTGTTTATGGATTGCTGAGGTAATTTCCTTATCATTTCATTAATACAAATGCTTCTACGATACTTGGTTCATGAAAATCAGGAAACTTCAACTACAATTTTTCGGGGAAATTGGCGACCCCAAATATTGACTATCTCATAAAATTGTGAAACCCTTCGGCCCAAACCTGCCCAATAATTAAAAAAAAAATCCATTATGCCAAACCACTGTTATGCCAAACGACTATTATTCCAAACGGCATTATGCCAAACGGGATCAAGCGAGACAACACCTGGTCATTAAAAATAAGGTAAAGTTGGACGAAGGCTTTTCTCGAATTTCACAAACGGCATGGCGTAGTAATTGCGTAAGATTTACTCTTCGAGTACCAAACCGAAATCACATTTTTCGCTATTTTTGTAATGTCTTTGGCAGTGGCGTCCCGTAACCTCCCTTTTCATCTGTGCACCAACTTTCAAAAACAGATTTAATTCCATATTCATACTTTAACTATTTGTTTTATATTACTTCTGTGTGAAGTCTACGATTTAAATAGTTGAAGATGCTAATTTCAAATAACAGACTAGAGTGGTAATTTTTATACGATAGATGAGGAGATGAAACTATAGAGTTAGTTCCGTTAGAGTACGGCAGTGTGAATTTGTTTATATAGAGAGTAGAAAGCGAGTAAGGACAACTTTTAAGAATGAAGGTACAAATCGGTTTGATCATCTCTCTTTACCAAAGTCCCCCGTTGGAGAGGAGTGGTGAGGGGTATTCCCCCCGCCACCACTGGCAAAAAGAGATGATCACCGACACGCTCAAATACCGACGATGTGTTTGAAACAGTTCTACCGATTTGAAAATTAGTATCTTCAACTAAGCCATATCCATACTCGAATCGGTTGAAAAATACACTTAATCTTCTTGTTTACTCGATATCTATCCATTGCAAGCAATATTTTGATAATTGTTTATGTTTTGAGAGTTGGTGCACAGGTAGATTGAGGTTAAGGAAACGCCACTGGTCTTTAGTAATTTTCAACGGATTTCTGATGTTTATATTATGTTGGAAAGGATATTAGTTCTCCTTTCTTATGGTCTAACTGGTCATGTCATAAGTAGTTGGTACGATTGTTAGTTCATTTTTTGACGAATCGATAGACAAGCCACTTTAGCGAGTTAAAACTGATGGATTTCTCCTTGCATATTTTTCCCTGTAGAATACTACATAGTCAAGTTTATAACTGCACTACTGAAAGAGTGCTTTGAAAATTTTGTAAAAAAGTAATAATCTGGATTTTACGGTACAATTACAAAAACAGATAGCGTGTCAAACATATTTATGGAAAGTTGAGGAAATAGCCTTTCCACCGGTATAAATACATCAGAAAACGGTTAAATAGAATGGCCAGTTTGGTGCTCGAAGAGGTAAAAGAAGTATTTTTGGAAATGGCAACAAGCTTGGAAAAAACCTTTCGATTACATATATATATATATGCGAAAAGCATTTTAATGACGACGAAGAGTACTATTAACTGTATCTTTTGTATGTCAACCAGATAACATTATGCCAAATGGACTAGACTCCTTTCAAACAGAAACGAAAGTTTATGCGTCCTATTTTCGAATTATCTTGGAATGTCTTCAGCAGGAATTCTTTGCATTTGGGTATGTTGTATGGTTAAAGATTTTATGAAAATTACTTTAGGCAACTAAACGACAATCAAATGGAGATATCTGTTGAACTCTCAAAACAGATATGTACCTAGTTAAGTCAAACTAATGAAGGATGGAAAAAAGTTCTGCCAAAGAGGCCCATTTTATGGGCGTGAACATAAATTAAAACACGGGCAGATATTAGCCAATTATAAAATAAAATGGACAAATAATAACATATGCGTGTGCAAAGCATTTGCATCCCTTGACGTATGCCTTAAAGCCAAAATCACCAATTCTATCATTTATCGTTCGATTGAGGGTTTGTGCTATTTCCGTATCTTACACCGCAAATTATAGGTAACTGAATAACATAAAACGCTCATCACTACCGAGAAACAATAAACAAACAACAATATCCATAAATAGCACCTACAGTAGTAGTTAACCCAATCGCGTTCGATAATCTTCTCTTCGCACTTTACGTTCTCAATGATACCGAAAGTATTGAGCGAGCCATCACCGTCACCGTTGCCACCAAAGCCGCTACTGCCACCGCCGCCATTGTTGCCATTGCCACTTCCACCACCGAGGCCGGGAGTGCCATCCTTGATGTCGAGATCCTGCAGCTCCTTCAAACAGAGCCACTCACCGTCGACTGAGACGCGGAAATTGCACAAATATATCGTGTCCTGAGCACTGGAATCGTTGCAACCGCCCGTTCCATTACCTCCAAGGCTTCCGGCTGCCAAGTTGCCACCATTGTTGGATGACGAGGTTCCCCCGCCGCCGAGGATCGGTTTGGGCAGGGTGATGGTACCGTTGTCGGCCAGCTTGCTGTTGCCTGGCGAGCCACTTAGGCTGCCGCCGGTCTGGTGGTGGTTGTTCGGCTGCGCTATGCCTAGCGCGCGTACCTTCGTCTGCAATGCAAAAAATGGTTAGTGTTGGATTTTTTGTTGTTTAACAATTAAACTAAAATTTTTAGCCGTCCCTTACAAAAGATTTTTAGTTTGCATTCAATGTATGATCAGTACAATACAATTTGCATACAGTTTAATCTTATGAAGTAATGATTCAATTCAAGCGACGTTATTCAAAATATGCTCGATGCTTTAACGATTGTCTGGAAGATATTGAATTATTGCAGTGTAGAGAATAGGACAAATATATCGTTTGTTATGCTGACATTCATTAGAGATCGATAGTAGGCGAAATATATCGTTTGAGGTAAAGAAAATGATCGGTGAAATCAATAGTAGGCTAGTTGATAAAAAGGACACAATAAATGATTTACATCCTTTACGCGAAAACCATATTCATGTAAGGAACAGCACACCTACCTACGGACAGATTTAGATACTTACATTACGATTCGTGGTGAAAATCTTGCCTTTTTGATATCCAACGAAAATAAATGTCCACTCCGGCTCACTTTTTTTGCAATCACTATCGTATTTTTTTTTGCCTCTTACACACGAAGGATGTCGACGATCTCGTTTGCTTTTCTATTATTTTTGTTTTGCTCGTTTTTTATACCGACCGCGCACCACAGAGAGAGATTGTCATATGCACTATTCGTTATATATTATGACTCATACACAATTACGATATGCACTTTGCTGTCACTACTGCCAGGTTTGGCGTAGTATCGATTCAGATAAACTAGATTGTGATTTTTGCTTCACTTTTCAATGAAAAGGATTTTTGTTTCTGGTATGATTTGTGATATTCACGAAAGTTCAGCAGCAAGAGACTTATAGTTCCTTATGGCTCAAAACCTCTCAGCTCTTTGTCAGACGAGCAACTATCAAATTCAATATTGTTTCCGAGCAAACACAGCTTTGTATTACTTGATTTCATTCGTCTATCGACGAGACTCTTCTTCGACTGCAGTAAAATAATTGTTTTAGTTCACGAAACCGCCTCTATGCGATTAAAATTTCGATTTAAAATTGGTCGCAATTAGTGCACAGCAGGATCAGACGTCTGATACTCTATTAGAATCGTTTATCGATTTTTCTCCTGACACAAGTGAATTTTCCAACACTTTTCACCAACACAATCACAACGAGACAGGGCTCTGACAAACAAATGAATTTCACGCATACACGGCGAGTCCCTATGCTAGTATGATATTGAGAGAAGAGAAGAAGTTGGATTTATTGCGTGTATCTGGAAGCCTGCAGGAGCCGGCCGTGTTTTTCCACCCACGATCAACCCACTCTTCTTTTTCAATTCATTTTGTTTTGGTAAAATCATTCGTAAACGCTGTGCAACGTGCATGGATAAACGAAGCATCGGCTGGCATGGATAGTGTGTGGCAGTATATTTCGAGACATGCTCGAATGAAACTCCAGCCGATAAAAGACAGGTATCCAGTTGATTTATTAACACATGGATGCATTTTATAAAGCAACCTATGGTTTCAGAGCGAGTAACTAGTGCAGAGTTTCGGGTAAAAGTTGAACGACTGAATTGTTTAAATTTGATTGACATATGGGTCATTCCAGCTCAAGTTTAATATTCAAATATTTAAAAACCTTCAAATTGTCGTTCTAAGATCACGAATAGCTTATTTGGTTGTGGAGTAATCTTTTCTGAAAGTTGAAATTTTTTAAAAATCTCGAAAATACAGGGTTGTAACCCAGAAGGATCTAGGCACTTTAGAGCAAAATCAAAAAAGACGTTTGTTCAGAATGCCAAAATAAGTGTTTTGGTCAAGTTTGGTTCAAATCGGTGACATCGACCACAACTTTTTTTAAATTCTGTACCCACTTGAGCTGGAATGACCCATATTAAAAAAAATCTAGCAATAACATTAATCGCACAAACTATTGCAAAAACACATCTCCCTAGATTTAATCTCATTGTTTAAAAAAAAGAGCAGTTCCAAGCCAAATAGCGAAGAAATTAACACATTTCAGATTTTACCTCTCAGAATCCCATGAAACTTCCAGGGCTGTTACAAGACTTCAAAATTTGATCCGCGAAATCCTCTCAAAAGAAATCCACGACAGATAAAAAACTGTTTTCATTGCGTAAAAATACCATTTGTATTATTTGCTACTACATGGCATTTCAAGCATATTGCTTATAGCATATTAACTGTTTGCTTGCTCTCATCTTAGTGTTTTTGAAGCAAATTTTAATTGAGAGCTTTCTATGCCTGTATTTACCCAAGGAAGTCGAGAAATTTTCCATCCCGAAAAATTAATAGACCGGATGCGAATCTAACCCAGCTTCCTTCAGCATAGACTTGCTCCGTAGCAGCGCCTTTACCGACTGTGCTAAGGGAGTATCGCTTGTACTATTTGAAGAAAAAAAACAATAGTATAAATTCTAACTATTTAGTGAACACAATAAAGCACATTATGAGATTCTAATGAATAAAAGCGACATAGCCTTTCTGAAACATTATTTTAAAACATTTATGGATTCTCATTTGAAATACAAATTAACTTGAAAATGATTAACATCAAAATCCCAATCAAAAATAGGCTGCACAGAACGATAAATTTAATTTGAGGTTTTTATTTTTAAGAAAAATAATACTGAAACTATTTTTTCTTAGGAGTATTTTAAAAGAGTTTAAAGGAAATGTTTATGATAATTCCAACCAAAATTCCAAGAAAATTGAACCCTGAATTCCGAGGATAGCTCTAACAAAATGTTGGGGAAAATTTCTATGGAATTCTGAGGAGGATTGCAAGGATATTCCAGTGATCATTTTTAGACAATTTAAAAGAGATTTCCAAGGAAATTATGAGGAGCATTTCAAAGAATTAATGGGAATTCTGAGCAGAACCAAAAAGAAATTCCTGTGGTAATTTCAGGAGAATACTAAGTGCATGCTGAGGAGAACTTCAAGTGATTTTTTCAGAAGCATTTTTTCAGAAAATTGCTAGAATCATTAATAATATAAGGAGCATTTCAGAGTGTATTCAGAGACGGTTCTGCACAAGATTTTCAAGCGTATTATGGAGGAAATTATAAACGAATTCAATTTATCCAGAATTGAACACATAGAAAGGTCAAGATTCAAGGTTTGGTAAAAAATATTCTGGACATGAAGGGGGGCAGTTATGGCATAATCAATTAGCAAATTGATATTATTCCACTCTCATACGCTCTCAATATCACGCGTGATATTGGAGCAAAATATAATGCTTGATATTGATTTTACAAACTTCTTTGATATTGCGAGTCTATTCACAACGTGCAAAAATCAAGCTGTGAATTGAATCGACGAAAAAATTATTCCGTTGCACCTCGTTTTCTTAGAAAGAGAAAGCATAGTTTGTCATCTCTTTTTTATCTTCACCGATGGCAGACACGAAGCGACTGCCGCCAGCCGTTATGGAAGTTTCGGTTGCGTTTGGGTGTAAAGCCAAAATCATGTAATTCAATCTCACCACAGTTTGGTGAGATGATATCACAGCATGCAATATCAACCGCAGTTGTTTGCTTGTTGATTTTTGTCTACGAAAATCAAGCATGATCTTGTTCTTTTGTGAGATTTGATTTTTTGATATTTTTTCAACACTGTAGGGGGGATTAGGGATTAGGGAATGTGAGAAGTTTTCAAGTTCCAAAACTAGCAAAAATATTTTAAACGCCGAACTTTGAAATTTAAGGTAACGAACTTGAAAAAAATCAAATGGCTGAAACTTCATTCTTCTAATTGTGGGATTGTGGAACCAGTGAATTCCGATTAGCAATTTTCCGGTTTGTTCCCGATGTTTGCCCGTAATTTTGAATTTTTTTTCGGTTGCGATACACATTAAAATTAAACAACGAAACGATCACTAGGTTAAATGGGTTATTACTAAGAAAGCAGCATTTTTCCTGAGTCAAATTCGGACCTGTGTTCGAATTCTTCAAAATTTGTCTATATTTTAACTTCCATGAAAATTTAATCAAAAATCTTTACAGGATTTTATTAGAATATTTTCATACATTTCCTAATCCTTTAAATTTGTCGAACCTCTTAACGGAATCCCTTTATGAAGAGCTTTGAGTGGGTTGGTTTATTTCCTTTTAATTCCGTTATAATTGCTTATCTTTTGACAGATACGCGTATTTCGTCTACTACTTGCGACTTCATCAGTGCCAAGTACTCAACACCACTAGTGGCGCCACCATGACAAATGCAAGCACATTCCCAACTAAAACATTATTTGCGATGAATGTGATTGTGAATGTAATGTCTGTTTGTCTGTGGTATTTCTTTGAACATCATTTTGAATTTGCGTACAGTCAATTTATTTACTATACTTCCACATTAACGATTTAAACATATTTTCATGCTTGTGCTCGTGTATGCTATGAACAAGTGATAACGGTATATTATCTTCCCGATAAGAACTCATTCTCACCGAAACTCTACGACCTAATCTTGTGGTTAGCTCCACCGATGTCAGTATACCTTGAAGAGTCATCCAGATAGGATACCATGCCGAAACAGAAGAATATTCCTAAAACTGTGTACTTTAAAATCGATCACGATGCCAATAATGTTCATCGTATTAGTGCATGGTACGGTATTGTGATTGTGGCCCTAGTGCTGGCCGGAGGATCAGTGACAAACTTCTTTCTGACCAATCTCCCGGAGGCCTTAACTGTAGCCGATTTGGAGCGAAACCCTGTAGCGTTTATAGCCGAGCGTGCTTGGGATAATCTGAAGAGTTTTACCGACTTGGGTCCAAGGGTCGCTGGTTCGAAGGCAAATGATGAGTTGGCAGTTGGGATTTTCAAGCGAGAGATTGAAGCCATACAAGCGACTAAACATGCCGATCAGGAAGTGATTATGGAAAATCAGGTCGTCACCGGAGCATTTAATTTAACATTCTATGGTACATCGATGACGACTGTCTACCGCAACATACAGAACATAGTGGTAAAATTAAAGGGGGAGAAAGATGACGCTCTGCTGCTGAATTGCCATTTTGACACAGTGCCTAGCAGTCCCGGTGCGAGTGATGACGTTGCTAGTTGTGCGGTAATGTTGGAGATTTTGAGGGTCATGTCGAGGATCCCGGAACGAAATAAACATTCGATTATATTCTTGTTCAACGGAGCAGAAGAAACATTGCTGCAAGCTTCACATGGTTTCATAACCCAGCATCCTTGGGCAAAGGACGTGAGAGCATTTTTAAATTTGGAATCAGCCGGATCCGGGGGAAAGGAGGTTCTTTTCCAGAGTGGACCAAACAGGCCATGGATGATTGACGCCTATGCGAAAGCCGTGAGGCATCCTTTTGCGCAAGCAATGGCGGAGGAGCTGTTCCACACAAAGTTGATTCCATCGGATACGGATTTCAGGATTTTCAGAGACTACGGTAACATACCGGGAATGGATTTGGCACATTTCTTGCATGGATATCGCTATCACACCAAGTACGACTCGCTGGAGTACCTATCGTTACCTGTTTTGCAGCGCACCGGAGATAACGTGCTTGCATTAACTCGTGAAATGGCTAATTCTGATCACTTATCAGCCATCGAAGTCGAAGCGGGGTCAAATACTGTATTTTTTGATTTTCTTGGATTGTTTTTCGTAAATTACTCTATGCGGGTAGCGGCGGTTATCAATGCAACGGTAGCGATACTTGGAGTGCTGATACCATATCTTGGCCTATCGGCGGCAGCTGGTAATCAAGCGAACAAGTCTATTTGGATGGAAGTTTTGTATGGATTCTTAAGCGTACTGTTGGGCGCATTGCTAAGCATAACGACTTGTGCGACAATTGCGCGACAGTTGGAAGCTATGGATAAACTTATGACCTGGTACAGCAATACATGGTTGGTACTGGGAATGTACTGTGCTCCTGCATTGGCTTGTCACTGCTTGATGCAGATGTTCTTCAATGCCTTCTTCAAGAACAACAAGGTAATTCATTAGCTTAAGTAATGTTAAGCAATGTCGAACCATCGGTATTCACCCAGCTTCGTTCATTGATCGTATTAGCTATATTTGTGTAACTTTCCAAGATCCACACGGCTAATGATACTAACTCAGGGAGAGAGAGAGTGTCACTTCTACTCAATTGTAGGCGGATGAATTTTCAACTATCTATCTATCAACTATCGAAGACCGGAGAGATCAAACCACGAAAATGCTCCGTTTCAGAGTTATTAATTTTATACAGCTGGATTGCATTCCTGGCTCATTGTTCATTGAAATAATGATCGCAACCAACATCAGTTTTCAAAATGGCGATTTAAATAAAATATTGGATAATTGCATTCACTCAAACATATATGTATGTCAACTTAAGTTTAAGGACAATTTAGTAAGTCATTTAGAATCCATAATTTAAGGATCAACGATGATGGAAATGAAAATGTCTTCAAAAACGCAATTAGGTTAAGGTTACAAACTGGATTTCGTGAGTAACTTACACACTAAGAAAAAAAATGAATTTTACCTAACCTAACAAGACGGTAGTTACAGCGGGTCGTGTTTGTACTTTTTAGTCAATTCCGAAAAGGGCAGAACTAATCTAATTTCAAATATGTCGTTGCATGAAAAAAAAAACAACTGATGTTTTTTTTTTCAAATATTGCTTTTTCGACACTTTCTCAGTTTTTCCTGGTGAAAATAAAAGCTCGTCTCTATCTCAGAATTCCAGCTTTTAATGGTAGATTTGCAATCCTGACTCCTTACAATTTCGGTGGCCTGGAATCATCGTTCCAGAATCATACAAATTTCTGCATGCATTAATTATTTCTGAAGATTAAAAAAAATACATGACTAAAATCTCTAAAAAAAAAACTCAAGCCCTAAAATTTACAAAGTCCCAGATTCTTTAAAAAAAAATCTTATTTGAGGTCTCAAAAATTGACGCCAGGAAATGTATTGATTTAAATTGAATATTTCTATATCAATATAATCATTGTTCACTCGGCTGTCGATAGTGTCGATGTGTGTCACGCAACCGTATGCTAGCTCGGCAGTAACAATTGTGTGGTCCTGGTCATCGTTCTTCTTCAACAGTTCTTTCGGTCGATGCAACACCGACTTCGGAAAGCAACCGTTTCGTGATGAGTGTAGGAGTGATGACCACGTGTTTGCGTCCATTGCTGCAATGGAAGCCACTCTGTCCCTCGTTGGCTATACTGCCATACAATGAAACCACTGGAAGCGGACCCGTTCTGATGGAGGAGGCTTTTTCGACAGCGGAAGATAAAATGTTTATTGTGTTGTACTTTTTGACTTTAGTTTTACGATGTTTTGTATAGTGAACAAGAATCCTCGGGTCTGAAGTTAATTCGATTGAGCCTTATCAAATAAATTAATAAAAAAAAAACAACAAACACATTTAACAATTCGGTCAAAAATTTTCTGGTAGCGTTCTGGTCTCCAAAAAATGATCATGATTCTGTAGCTCAGACAAATTTAAAATATACGTAACTTCAATCGTTTTTCGAGATCTGGCACATAACAAAAGTAATAAATTATCTGATAATATATTTATTATTTACCGTTCCACTGAAACCGATGCAAAGTTTTGCTGGCAGCTTCGTAAGAGTAACTTCGCATCGCAGATCACTCGCGACTCCGGATTAGTGATGCGAGCGCAATAGCAGGGCTGGTAGCCATCACTGCTGTCAAAAATAGTGATTTTAGTGACCATGTTGAAGAAATAAGTGACTAAATAGTGACTGAGAGTTGTAAAAATAAGTGACCCTGAATTGAATTATAAATAAATTTTATTGAAAACTCTTAGCAATTTCTGAGGAGCACAACTCCTGTGAACTTCAAAGGAAAATTACAAGGGCATTCTGAGAACAATTTCATAAAGTGTGTGGGAGAAAACAAATTCGGAGCATAAGTCCTTGGAATTTTTTTGAAAATACTAAAAGAAGGATTACAGTTAAATCTGAGAATAACTCCAGGACATCTTCAAAGGAATTTGTAAAATAAATTCAGGAGAGTTTTCCAAACAAATTATGAGAAGAAATCTAAGGAAATTGTGAGTAGCAATGCCAATGAGTTCTTAAGAGACTTTCAATGTGAGTAGAATTCCAAGGGAAGGAGTGAGATTCAAAACGAAATCTGAAATTAATTCAATGAATATTCTGATAATCTTTCCAAAGGGTGTCTTATTGTGGAGAATTTCAAGGTAATTCCGATAAAACTAAAAGAAAATTGAATTCGGAGGATAGCTTCATGGAAATTTCCGTTGAATATGAAATGGACTATTCTGAGAACTTCACAAATTTTTCCTATGAAGTTCTCGAAATGTTTCTGAATACCACTGTCCTTCTGTGAAGTTTTTTTTATAAATTTCTGGAACTTTTGTGCTCCCGCAATTTTTATGGAATTAGAATGAAATAATTAGTATAGTTTTATGATTTTCACTTAAGTTCTCATGATTTTTCTGAAGTTCATGAAACTTCCATTAAATTATCGACACTAATTTAAAACTTCTTCAATAGTCTAGACTTTCCGGGTATTATTAAAACAACCCGCAAATTTACTGAAATAAATTGATTTGCCTTGAACTTTGGAAAATTTTCCTTAAGTATGCTAACCATTAAAAACGCTCACTTATTTTCCCTTGACTATGCTTACCTGAAGTTCTCTGAATTTGTTTGTCCGGCAAATTTTCTGATATATATTATATATTTAAAATTCCCTAACGTTTTTAGATCAATCATAGAATTCTTGGAATACCCCATAATGCCACGGAATTCCTTGTAAGTCGCTGTTAATGGGATTATTCTGAAGCTATTTGATCGTCCTCGATGTACTTGGAACTTCACTGAATATCATCAAACTATCTAAATTCTAAGTTCTCTGGAATTTCTGAAGATATTTATCGCTGTTTGCTAAAAGTTCTCGCATTTTTTTTTAAATGAATGGAACTTAGCTAAACTTTCGTATTTTTTAATGTTCTTGATATTTCCATGATTTTTTTTTTAATAATTCGTTTATTTTTTCCAGGCTCATTTGCTGTAGCTTTGTGGAGCCGATATTCATTGTTTAGATAACAAAATTACTTGAAACTAACGTTAGTAAAGCGGAGGCCGATTACTCGCGGCTATCTCGAGGTTAGGGGTAACAAATTGTAACAAATGGATGGCAGGGTAGGGATAGTGAACACAAGGTTTGGAGAGCAATGTGCTCTTGATCTCGAACTAGGCGACACTCTGATGAAAAAGACAAACATGGGGGTACACCGATGGGCAACTAACAACTTGGGAGAACACAAGATGACACTAACTACTAAATCCTCAAATCTATCCGTTTTAAAAACACATAAATTAAATTTAAATAGTCGAGGCCTCGGCTCGCCAAGACATCTCTAACGGGTATCGCGGGTTGTTTTCCTCGGGTCCTGAGGGATATGGATAACTCAGATCTGGCAACACGGTGTAATGTACATGACCAAACAACATGCTCGATATCGTGATAACCACTGCCACACGCACA